GAGCTGTTTCGTATTTTTTCTTCTTTGCATTTCTTATCTCATAAATAGTCTTAAAATGAGCCAAAAATGATCTAAACAGGATCATAATAGGCTCATATTTTGATGACCATAATAAGATGATATTTATCCCATAAAAAAAATGACATAATTATGACTATATTATGATACAATAAATTAGATAAATATGGGAAAGATATGATTTAAAAATGGCATATAAATGAATCATTCATGGCTCATTTTTTATCTCATTCTTCACGGCCTGGGTAGTTTCCTTTTTGCACAATTTAGTGCAATGGGAAAATGCGGGGTTTGGGAAGTACAGCGTATGAAAGGTCGGAAGATTGAACCCAGGAGAAGAACACCTTAAAATTGTGTTAAATGAAAGAACCATACACAAATATCTCTTTAAATGTATAGTACTGATGATATTTCTTACTCCATTCCGTGGTACAGCTGGTTCGCAAGCCAAGCATCCTATTTTATCTTCTGAACAACGTTGTTGGAACGAATCTAAAAGGTCAAGACACTTTGTTTTTAATTTTAGATTAGTGAATAATAAATCTTGAAATGTGGGTATGATTTCGCGTATAAATATTTCGCGGCATAAATGGCGCCATTCTGCTCTTTCTCTCCTTCCTTATCTGAAGCTTTTATGGTTTCATTTTTAAAACACTGAAACATACATTTTTCACTCTTTGATAACCCGCTACTCACTACACACATGGCACCCAAATATCCTGACAACAACAAAGTACCAGCTGAACGTTTTCTCGACGTCAGCCATAAATCCTCCAAGTCTCTGTCTCCTGTTAGGGACTATTTACCATTTAGCAATTCTTTAGTACCAGATTTATTCAAATTTAATTTACGTGCTAATTTAATGATCGCAACGCATGTATCACGTACCGAAAATGGTGAATGATCATATAAGTCTATGAGAGAGAGTGAAAAATGTATGTTTCAGTGTTTTAAAAATGAAACAATAAAAGCTTCAGATAAGGAAGGAGAGAAAGAGCAGAAAGAAAAAACAAAAAAGATTTTGATGTAATATAAAATGACTTTGTTTTTTGTATGTTTGCACATAACGAGAAGAAAAATGTTTCATAGATGTGTGGTAGGAGTGTATTTGACGTTATTACGCCAGAGGAGATTAACAGAAGAAAAGCGTGACCTGCTCTTCGCATGGTAAGAAGATGAAGGACGCTGAAACGAACTCTCAATATCAGGATGGATGATCAGTCAGGAGAATCGGCCTTGTAGGTATCGTTAGATGCGTCTAATCAAACGTTTTCGTTAGAGTTTGAAAGTCGTAATTTTTCATATAAGTGTCTTCATCGGTCACTGCATGGTTAAATAAATGTGAGAGCTCACTTACCCGTGACTAAGGGTCAATAGAAGGGCTGGCTAAAATGATTGTTTAGGCTACGAAGGACATAGAATAACAGTTCGATCCTACTAGATGGCTCGAGCACACAACAAAGTCCTAGTCCACAGACATGTCTCTAACTACAATAAAGATTAGAGAACTTGTTCCAGATGTTTCACTTGAGATTCCAGGAAATATGACGCATTGGTGAGTCTGGCGATGACTGAAAATGGTTTTTGTCGACCTTCTGAGTCTAGCAATGTTTATTCACTGACTTATTTTAGAAGGCGATCTCATGAACATTTGCGTCTTTAAAATTACTCTAGATCATCTCACGTCAACATATATGACGGCAGCTAACCTACCACCCATCACTTGGCACATTGGTGATTACGAAATTGAATCTCTTTGTTCCGCAAAGGACAAATACTCCATTGAACGCTTGTTCTCTGCTGTCGAATCGCATGATGTGACTGTGGTCAAAACTTTCACGAATGAGCAGCTCCGCAATTTATGTCGAATCCGTCGACTGTTCCACTCGGAATGGTCGGCACCGGCAGAAGAAAAGCAAACCGCCTACCAGCGTGCTTGCTTTCTCGGCTACACGGATATCGTACAATGTATGCTGGAAGCCGGTATAAGAGTGGATCAGGAATTCACGCCTGTTTTTCACGGTGTTTCAGCGTCTGGTGGTACCAGAGATATCCAGCGAAGTGCCTTCATGTTCGCCTGTCATTCGGGTTCAGTGACCACAATTCGTGCATTGTTACAAGCTGTCTCGAGTGACTACGCTGAGCATTATAAATGCAGGAACAGAATAGCCACGTGTTCTTCCTCCTTTGCCAAGCAATATTTAATTCCACAAGGAAGTTGGGTCGAAGAATCTTTAAATAAATGTAGCTTAGACCAATCTTCTTCAATTGCAAATAGTTTCGAACTTGTCTTTCCTATTCACTTCGCCATTGCTCAAGATAATTTGGAAATGGCACGACAAATAGTCACATCTTCCAACAATGAGCTAGACACACATAACAGCTGGAAGCCCGTTCAACATGGAGGCTTTACTCCTTTGCATATTGCCTGTTTGTTCAATCGATCCGTTGCCATGGTTGAATTATTGCTTTCGCTTGGTGAAGGTGGAGGTAATCCTCTGCTTCAAACAAGCAATGAAGGCATGTTTGCTGATCAAATGGCAAGTGATAGAACACTTATCAAGTATCTCCGTCCAAAACGTTTCTGCCTTACGGCCGCAATGGAACGAGAACGCTTGAACGACTTGGAAGAAATGCAGTCAGGGAAACCCTATGAAATTTTCATCAGACCACTCTCAGGACAGACATTAACACTCACTGTCACGGGTCACACGACGACCGCCGAACTCGGAGCATACTTTCAGAATGAATGCGGTATTCCACTGGAGCGGCAAAAACTTCTCTTCAAAGGTCAGCCGATTCCAACCTGTGGAGAAATACTACCTCTTGTACACTATAGCATAAAAAAAGATTCAGTTCTAGGTATTATATGGCGAAATCCCAAATGAGTGCCAACTTCACCAACGAGAACCAAGACAGAATTGTGTCAAAAGTTTTCACTAAGCTATACAAGAATAAACAAGACTCGTGATGTTCATACAGCTTGAAGGGTCTTGAATGAGTTGCGAAGATTCTTGATATACTTTTTTCATACGAGCGCCTTTTGAATTTGGAATAGTG